TCTTGCTTGTTTTCCATTTCCCACCAAAGCTTGAAAACTCCCAGCAGTCTGAGCTATTAGAATAACACGAGTAGAGGAAATAGATGGAGTATGCAGACAGACCTGCCTTGTTTTGCAAAGCGATATCAGCGGGCACAACACTATACGGCTTTGAGTATAGCCTAGGGTTTGATTATATATGCATCTCATGGGATGTTATTTGTATAAACCAAGAAAGCCGTGTCTGGATTTCACAGATGCTTTAATTGTGTACATTTACTACCACCATCACACGACGATAATGAAGTGGGTGCTTTAGACAGTCCACTTAGTGGTAATAACCTCAAAATCGATTTATAATTAATTTACAATAAAGATCTTTTCCTATCTCAGTCATCATCGGTTCAGTGCTGCTCTTAATGAGCCAAGTAAGACGGCCACTGAACTGAACAGCAACAGATATTTATCATTCAGACTGGGCGAAATGAGAGCAATAACTACAGGTGCATCTCAATAAATTAGAATGTCGTGGAAAAGTTCATTTATTTCAGTAATTCAACTCTATTGTCAGTAGGTATTGTCAAGAGGAAAATGAGAAACAAGAGACCAAAAAATGCAGATGAGCTGAAGGCCACTGTCAAAGAAACCTGGGCTTCCATACCACCTCAGCAGTGCCACAAACTGATCACCTCCATGCCACACCGAATTGAGGCAGTAATTAAAGCAAAAGGAGCCCCTACCAAGTATTGAGTACATATACAGTAAATGAACATACTTTCCAAAAGGCCAACAATTCACTAAAAATGTTTTTTTTATTGGTCTTATGAAGTATTCTAATTTGTTGAGATAGTGAATTGGTGGGTTTTTGTTAAATGTGAGCCAAAATCATCACAATTAAAAGAACCAAAGACTTAAACTACTTCAGTCTGTGTGCACTGAATTTATTTAATACACGAGTTTCACAATTTGAGTTGAATTACTGAAATAAATGAACTTTTCCATGACATTCTAATTTATTGAGATGCACCTGTGTATTACCATGTGCAAAAAGTATTATTATAGCTCACATTTAAAGCTTTGAACAAACCTCTAACTGTAAGTATTAAACTCTAAAGTATCCACCGTTTTATTTTTAAGATTACAGTGTGCGAGGCATTCCATGTAAATAATTTTTAAAGATTTATTTTTGCCTTTGTTATGATAGGATAGTGTAGAACAGACAGGAAGCAAAGTGGGAGAGAGAGGGGGCTGGGATCGGGAAAGGTCCTCAAGCCGGGATTTGAACTCAGGGCGCCCATAGCACAATGGCACTATATATCGGCGCACTTGCCCACAAGGCTATTGGCGTCAACACTTCCAGTTAAATTATATTATTTTAATTTGTTATCATGATCATAATAAACAGTGATTGGTAGGGAAAATTGTTAATTGCACTATGAATAATTTCTTCATATATCAGACTGAATCAGTTCTTGACTCGCACAATCTTCTGGTTGCAACGATTGGCATCTAAACCGGTATTTGTTACCATATTATTTTAATTTATTATCAGAATCATACATACATTGGTAGCACAAATAATTTTACTGTTTATTTTGTTATTCTTCTAGTTATTAGCGGCAAATGCAGCTAATCTGAAGTCACACACATTCACAAGAAATTTGTACTAAATAAAGTGGATTCAACTTTTCTAGACATTCAAACACAATTTTCGCAACAATAAAACAATGCAAAGTAAGCAAACAAATCACAAATTCTAACATTGAAGGCAGAACCCGAGCCAGCCATGTATTTATGGTATACTGGTGGATTTTGGCAAATTTTGGTATACTGCATTATGAAACTACGATGCCAATGCGCAACAAATTACCAATACAAACTATTCTTGTTTGAGGTAAATTTTGAGGTAAGAAGACATGTGACTGAATAACTCAACCTGAGAAGAAACAATCGTACTGAAAAAGTGCTTTTTTCGTGAATTGTTTTGCGATGTTCCAGTTTTTGCATATAAATTAAATTCGCAACTTGTGAAAAAATGTCGCCCTAGTTACCACCCAAATCTAGCAACTACACACTAACACCCTAGTGTTGTGGTTGCGAGTTTTGCACATGAATGCATAATATATCAGTATTTTATTGATTATCATCCGATTATAGAGACTTTTTTTTTACTAGCATCGGTCAATTTTGAATATTCATCTGTGCGTTAATTCTCCTATTTTGACATTTAGATTACCTTTCCTAGATTACCTTATCATCCAACACTCACTTAGAGTGAATCTTTAAAAACGCTAATAATTTTAAGCGCATGTAAAATTTTGTTCTATCCTGTTGAGATTTGCGTCATGTTTGGACAAAAACGCTGCTAAAGAACTCTTTTATACCGCAAACTTGAATCTGATTTTACGAACAGAACATAAAAACCCAAGAAAACAAGGGTGGATGATGGCGTCCAAATCACTTCAGGTGCGAAAATGACTCACAGACCACCGTGAGACACGTGTCATGCGATTGCATGCTCAACAGTCAGCATGTTTTCCCACACACATCTACACGGGAGACGATGGGGAGCAAACCAATCAAAACAGGAGGATGCCGAGGCTGGAGACGCCAGCGCCAGGGGAATTCAGGGAGTGAACCGTCCCTGTTTGGATGCAGTTTTAGTGATTAAAAAGTAGACGATGAGACTGGAGCGCAAGACAGTTTGTGGCATTTACTACAGGCCAATTGCATTGACATTTATGTCTTTGAAAAACAGTAACCACAATGCAGTTTGCAAAGCCTCCACGCATATGCAAAAGAACAAATCTTGCCAACAATGAGCTGGAGAAAGGTCAATCTTAAGTACATACTGAACACAGGCACTTTATGGAGTGGATCACATTTTGTGCTGTTTAATAAATCTCATAAAGTGGGTTTACAAGTATGATCTTACACTGATTATGTTTAATAACCCAAGAAAACTAACTTTTTTTGTCATGAAAAGGTCATAGTTGGTTTTGTGTGTACAGAGTAAAACTGTAGCTTCTCGGGTTTGCAGAATAAGGCGATTTTTGGTTATCAGCATATCATGCATGTGAATGCGATCACTGACACCTCACACACAGATATTTGACTAATTAAAAGAAAAAAAAACACAAATGGAGAACTGGGGAGAAAAAAAACTGTCTCTTAGAGGCAGAAACAAGAGTGTATTTGATAGATACAGAAACTGTTATGGAAGTGAAAATCTGAAATTATCATCATATATCAATCAAGCACAAGGCTTCTTTTTTAATATATCATAGTTAAATAATCAACTTTAAACCATGAAATAAACAGAAAACTTAATGATTTTATTTATTATTATTATTATTTTTATTTAAGTTTAGGTGGATTTTACATAAAAATCGGCTTTACTTCAAGTCTTCATGTATAATGCATTATAAAAGCATTCATGATGTACAGTGGGTACGGAAAGTATTCAGACCCCCTTCAATTTTTCACTCTTTGTTATATTGCAGCCATTTGCTAGAATACTTTCCGTACCCACTGTACTTGTACATGTAATGTACTAATGTAACTATATATTTTCATAAATAATTGTAGCCAAAATTAAAAGCCATTATAATATTTGCAGATTCCTTGTTCGATCTGCAATTGGTTGTTTGTCAAATGTTTTAATGCATTATAGTTTCTAAAGGTGTAATGATAAATATATAACTATTATAATGTACAATAACTGACGTTAAAATTATTAATGAGATCATACAATGCATTATAAGGTGCATAATTAAAACGTTTAAAAAATACTTTTAATATAAAGGCTTCAAGTAAACTGTTACCAAAAAAGGTTATGATGTAAATTAATAAGAAATTTAAGATTCTGCACCACCAACAACAACAAAGTGACATCTGAACTCTATCGTACAAACGACCAAATTATTTTTTCTTCATTCTTATTTATTAGTTGTCATTATAAAAATGAATCAAATATTATGTTTTAGCATTATTAATAATTAGAAATGATTAAAATGAAAATATTACGGCCATTGTATTACCACGGCACTTTTTAGTGTTATATTAGTGTTTATATAGTAGTCATATTAGTGTTAAAATATTTTTCTAAGACTTACCGAGCAATTGCACACACTCTAATAACTTAAGAAAGAAAAATGGCTCGTGTTTGAATATTAAAAATATTCAAAACAATGACAACTTGCACCACACATGCATAAAAGTAAAGATTTGACTGATCTAAGGAATCCTTTACAAATCAAAACATTATTGTAATGTCATCTAATGTCATCCTTTATGCATTTAATTGGCATATTTGATGGCATTTATCCTAAACAAATGTAATACCCCCTTTACCCCGTTTCTCACCTGAAACCCCCACCATCCCATCTGTCATCTGCCCAGTGTCCCTGCTGATGGCTAGCTCGCTGAATCTGGTTTGAACCTCGTTGTCACACCATCCTCCTGACAATATGCCCATAAAACTACAGTGGGTACGGAAAGTATTCAGACCCCCTTAAATTTTTCACTCTTTGTTATATTGCAGCCATTTGCTAAAATCATTTAAGTAAATTTTTTTTCCTCATTAATGTACACACAGCACCCCATATTGACAGAAAAACACAGAATCGTTGACATTTTTGCAGATTTATTAAAAAAGAAAAACTGAAATATCACATGGTCCTAAGTATTCAGACCCTTTGCTAATGAGGAAAAAAAATTAACTTAAATGATTTTAGCAAATGGATGCAATATAACAAAGAGTGAAAAATTGAAGGGGGTCTGAATACTTTCCGTACCCACTGTATATATGCATTAATGCACACTGACTCTGGCAGCATGTGAACCCTAATAATCTGATGCTTGCATGATAAATCTCATGCATCAGTGCTCAAAACCATGCATGAATGCTAGTTTTGCTAGCTCTATCCATCCCAACCACCTATAAATCAATCAGATGAGATTGGATGAACCGATGTCTTTCTTAACACCTTCTTTCGAATCAAACCCAAGTTGTTGGTTACCCCAGTCCGTGCCGTCCGCCGTCACCGCGTCCTCGGATGCTGCTGCCCCAGATAACGGACTCCCATCCCCGGCCTCAGACAGGCTGGCCGCCCCTTCAGCCGCCGCTTCCATTCAATATCCCGGGATGAATCCTCCGAGCGAGAGCGCTGTCAACCAATGATCGCCAATATTTCAAAACATACACAGCTTTTCCTCTCAGTGTATATGAATGTGATTAGCTGACAAAAATAAGGTGGGAGATTGAGGACTGTCCCTGCGCGTCGTGGTCCTCCTGCTCTCCTCTGAGCTGTCATGCACATGCTAGGGATGTTCGATTCGCGGATGAATCGTTCGTTTGAACAGATTGAATTGAACCGATTCGCTAGGAGACTCGCAAATCATTTTGAGCTGGGGCCTGTTTTACCAAATAAGCAAGTTTACCAAATAAACAGTGTTGGGTAGTAACTAGTTACATGTAACTTTATTACGTAATTTAATTACAAAATAAATGTAATTGTAATCAGTTACAGTTACGAGAAAAAATGTGTAATTAAATTACAGTTAGCCTACTTATGAAAATGTTAACGATTACAAAGGGGGTTACCTCTGCATTTTCACACACACACACACACACACACACACACACATACACACAGAGCGAGAGAGATTTATTGGATTTCTTTTTGAGTTTAGGACACAGAATAGGACACATGCTTATTCAATCCTATTTGTGTTTATGCATCTGCTTTATTTTTTTACATTAATTATTTTTTCAAGGGCATTGTTAGATGCCAGTGTTTCCTGTCATTACTATGCAAAGATATGGCTTCAAAAACAGTATCACAGCTACTGAACTATTTCTTGTTATGATTTTAAATCTGTATTTAACCTCAGAATGATCTCAAAGTAAGTCTGATTTTGTGGTGGCTGTGCTCTAAAATTAAATTATTGTAATCTCAAGTGATGAAGTGATAAATTCAAATGATGAAGGATTTCGAAAGTCTGACAGTAATGATACTGTAAGGTTAACCCTTCCTGGTTTACATGTTTGAAAATAATTAACAGTTGAAAACATTAGAAATGTAGAAAAGTTAGCAAAATGTAATCAGTTACATTACTTTATTAAAGTAATTGAAATAGTTACATTACATATTACATTTTAGATAGGGTAACTTGTTCTTGTAATCTGTAACCTATTACATTTCCAAAGTAACCTTCCCAGCACTGCAAATAAGCCAGGGGCCTGTACCATGATGGTGGCTGAACAAACTCGGGGTTACAGGATTAGTTTTGAGTTGACAAAACCAAACCAGTCCAATCCGGCTTTGTTGGTACCATGAAGCTCATCATCGACTTTCTCTGTCAACTCAGGCTTGATCCTGAGTTAATGGAGCACGTGCACATGAAAGAGTGACATCAGTAATGAACAGCCAATCACATGCCTCGTCCTTTAATTTGGAGTAAGAGAAACTGGTGGAGTGGCTTTATTGCATCAGAGATGTGTCACTTTGCCTGAAGCTGATTGGTCAAATTTCACTTTGAGATCTCTAAACCAGAACATAACCTGCCCCAGAGCAGGTTAGCTGTGGAGTGTAAGTTACTAAGGCAATGAATGCCGCTAAAAGCCAAGCCACTTTCATGGTACCTAAAACCCAGGATTGGTGCAAACTAAACTGAAACTTACCTGGCTAGCCAGCTAAACCAGCTTCATGGTACAGGCCCCAGGTTTATTTCATTTAGTCTGACTTATTGTCAGTTGATTTGGTTAAAAACAAGTCAGAATAAATGAAATAAGCCTGACTTGTTTGGTAAACTTGTTTTATGAAACAGCCCCCTGGTTTTGCGGTTTGTTTGTCAGCATATACTTGTTACTAGAAATTAAGAAATTAAGAAAGAATTTACGACAGATATTGTGAAAGCATCTTACGCTACTTGCATGAACTTTAGCATTTTACAGCGTTACTGTAACAAATGGTATTTGGGCGAAAAGTATAATTTCGCATTGAATAAACAACACAATGTTGACACAGTATCTAATTAAATATAACCAAAGTGATAAACAGCGAGTTTTTCCGTCATTATGAAAACGAACATGATGACTATCAAAACAATTGACGGTTTGAATTTGTTAATTGAACCGAAACGAATGAGTCGATTCGTCAAGATGAATCGCACTTCCAAACGCATACACAGGAGCTGCTGAGTGTTTGGATGAGGCTGCTGCTGCTCTCTGTTGGTGAATGTTCATTAATACACGTCGGAAGAAAGGCTTAACTCTCATATATACGACTTAATTAAAATTTGGTCAATTTTAATATAATATAAAATATAATATAATCCCAAAAGTGTTGTTTTCACTGTTAGGTTGTTCTTACAAAATATTAATTAATGAAAAATAACAATAATCTTTAATGAATCTGAATCCAAATGAAGCAGTGAGCATATATAATAAATAACAAATATTATTTCTTTGTGTGTGTACATATAAAGTGTTTATCATATAAATATTATGAGAATTATTAATATTATTATATCAATGTTGATTTTACAGTTTTCCTGGGCAATCATTATATAAAATATTTCAAGCTCACTTCAGGGTTATTATAGTTTAACTAAAAATAAAATCATAAAAAAAATACTTGAAATAAAATAAACATTAACTAAACTAATGATAATTTAAAGAGAAATTAACTTATTTTATTCCAGCTAACTGCCAAAGCAACATTCATATTTTTTATTAATAAAACTGAAATAAAAATTAATAAAAAATAATTATAAAGCCATATATTAAAAAAAACATCTAACAAAAATGACAACAAAAACACCACAAAATTACTAATACTTTAACTGAATGAAAATGAAAAATACTAAAATAAAAACGAATTCAAAAATAGTAAAATAATAATAATAATAATCAAAATAAAATAAAAAACTATAATAGTACCTCAATGATACTAAAATAACGCTGGCTCACTGATATCAACAAAACACCAACAAATGTTCAAATTAATCTTTTTGCGTTTATTAAGAAATTTTACACTATGACAACATGTTTAGTTCTAAATAAATGTGCATATTTTCATTTCAAAGCAGAGGGGTATAGTTAAAGGAGCGGGGGACTGATGCTGGCCACTGATGATGCTCTCAGGAGGGGTTGCACGCCAAATGCATCAGGTCTGTTCTTTCCTCAAGAGGGGTTTCCAAACAAACCATCATTAGTCCATGAGACGACATCACTGATACCCAGCGGTCAGTCGGGGAGAATGAAGAGGGGCGGCAGGGCAGCGTGCAGTAATCTGACAGTCAGCTAATGATGCTCCTTAGAGATATTTAGGCAGATCCTTCTCCACAACCTAAAAGAGACATATTTACCAAAGAATATATTTTGTGAGCCAATGTCACTGTGATAATTAGATGCTGTAGCTAATCTTAAACATGGCCTAGTTTATGACTCAGATTAAAATACAATCAAAGATTAATACAATTTACGCTTGGATCCTGTAATGGGGAGTATCTCTTCACAACCTGGCCTTCACGGTTAATAAGGAACTGAAAAGAAAACACAAAAATTGATAGCAAATTAAACTTTTTTAATCATACTAATAATTGGTAAGTAAGTATTCATGTTTAAAATACAAGATTTAATTCATAATATGCTTTTAATTAGCATAATTCAAAGGGAAAACGCACAAACCTTAGTGAAATTCCATTTGATGCCACTATAATGGAATAAAAACAACAGTCAATAGATATTTAAACAGTTTTTAGAGTGCAGCTCTATTAAAGGTATAGTTCACCCAAAAATTTAAATTTGATGAAAATGTATTCACGCTCGGGCCATCCAAGATTTGGAGAAATGTAGCATTACATCACTTGCCCACCAATGGATCCTCTGCAGTGAATAGGTGCCGTCAGAATGAGTCCAAACAGCTGATAAAAACATCACAATAATCCACAAGTAATCCATACAACTGCAGTCCATCAGTTAACATCTTGTGAAGCGAAAAGCTTTGTGTTTGTAATAAACAAATCCATCTTTAGGATATTTTAACTTTAAACCACCGCTTCTGGCCAAAATTCCAGTCCATAATCCATAATAACGCTTCCTCCAGTGAAAAAGTCCATCCCCTGTTGTCCTCTCACCTCAAAATCCACAGACATATTTGCTTAGAACTGTTTTAAATGGTGCTTGATCTGTGCAGATTTCTCTCCTGATTCAGATGAGATTACTTTTTCACTGGAGAAAGTGGTATTATGGATAAAGGACTTCTTTTCTCTAACAAACACGCAGCTTTTCGCACAAGACATTAATCGATGGACTGGAGTCGGGTGGAAAACTGTGATGTTTTTATCAGCTATTTGGACTCTCATTCTGACGGCACCCATTCACTGCAGAGGATCCATTGTTGAGCAAGTGATGTAATGCTAAATTCTGATGAACAAATAAACTCATCTACATCTTGGATGGCCTGAGTACCAGCAATTTTTCCTTTAAAGGGATAGTTCACCCAAAAATGAAAATTCTATCATATTTACTTATACTCATGTCAGTCCAAACTTGCATGACTCTCTTTCTTCTGTTGAACATAAAAGAAGATCATTCTGAAAAATGCTGGTAACCAAACAGTTTCTGTTCCCATTACCTATCATTATATGTGACCCTGGACCACAAAACCAGTCATAAGTGTCAATTTCTCGAAATTGAGATTTATAAATCTAAAAGCTGAATAAATAATCTTTCTATTGATGTATGGTTTGTTAGGACAGGACAATATTTGGCCGATATACAACTATTTGAAAATCTGGAATCTGAGGGTGCAAAAAAATCTAAATATTGAGAAAATCGCCTTTAAAGTTGTCCAAATGAAGTTCTTAGCAATGCATATTACTAATCAAAGATGAAGTTTTTATATATTTACAGTAGGAAATTTACAAAATAACTTCATGGAACATGATCTTTACTTAATATCCTAATGATTTTTGGCATAAAAGAAAAAATCAATAATTTTGACCCATACAATGTATTTTTGGCTATTGCTACAAATATACCCCTGAGACTTAAGACTGCTTTTGTGCTCCAGGGTCACAAATGGACAATAAAACAATGGGAGTCAATGAGAACAGAAACTGTTTGGTTACCAACATTCTTCAGAATATCTTATTTTAAGTTCCACAGAAGATTGAGTAACATACGTTTCATTTTTGGCTGGACTATCCATTGAATCTACTTAGCCCATATCAAATAAGCATTTATTTCCACAGAATTTACAAGTCAACTAAGTTAAATTATCTGGCAACCCACTTTCCAAGGAATCCTTTCCCATTTGG